GGTCTGATGATTTGGATCGTATTCTGATTCCAATGGAATAAATTATGACCATGGAATATTAGTGTTTAAGCCTTTTTTATTATATCCTTACTCTGTCCTAGACATTGAGTTCTACCTGGAATCTTCCTCTTGGAAAATTTTTTTCTGAAAATATACATGTATGGGTATTTTTTATATATATTTGCATATGTATGTATGTTTCCACTAATATTATCTATCTATATATCTAGATTATATATATATATATATATATATATATATATATATATATATATATATATATATATATATATATATATATATATATATATATATAAAATAAAATATGATAAAGTTAATTGGTAATCTGATGAATAATTCCAGGGGGATATAAATTCCAAGAGCTCATTGTAGTAAACAGAGCAAGTAATAATTAATTGACAAATTGGAGACTTCAGAAAGCCATGGTAATATTTTATATTTCGCAAGACCACTAAAATGCAGTTTCGCTTCGTCAGACCTTGCAGTTTTGAAACCGCAAGGTCTGATGAAGCCAAACTGAATTTTATCAGTCTCATGAAATATCTCCGATTTGTTAATTTTATATATATATATATAAAAATGGGAAAATGTTATATAAATTTTGATATATTTAGAACAATTTTAGGGAATGTACTGACAAGATAAACTAAAGTGATGTTTATGTTGATGCTGCAACTACACAGGAGATGCTGAAATTTTAAAATTTTCTTCTGTTTCTTAATGTTTTGGTTATATAATAATCTAGCTGATTTCATTTAGTTTGTTTTTGCTTTTTGTTTCTATCACTTCTTATTAAATATCCCAAATTGTGATAATAAAAGATCTGCCAAGAAAAGTGAAATGTTATAAGAACCTGGAAGTAAATTTACTGTGGATGATCGAGCAATGAAAGCACTTTCTACATATTTTTGTCTTAGTAAACCACTTTCTCTTTTAATCAGGTGTACATTTTTTTTTAAAACCAAAATTATGGTCAGACTCATTATAGCGAGCAATTAATGCATTTATTGTGTTGTTTTGTAAAATATTCCTCTTGTGTTCATATAATCTTTTATTTAAATTCCTTGAGGTTTCTTCTATGTATTCCTTGTGACAATCACTTCAGGTGATAGAGTGAATTCCTACTTCAAGTTTTAGCATATTTTATTTTATATTAATTAAGTCTTATTATTTTAGATGTAATTGTCTAACAAATATATATCTCTTTAAATATGTTTTGCTAAACAATAATGACAAGATCTATCTGAGTTTTATTAAGTTATTCCAACCTCAGACTAAGTTGTTTTATGTCATTGGTAAACTTTTCAAAGCTCACTGTATTTTTGTTTTTTTTTAATCCGAGTACTTTTGACTATCACTAGTCATTGTTGAAAATTGCGTATTTAGTCAGTTTATGAAAATATGTTTTGCTAATCCCGGCTGTTCCTACTTTGTGGGAACCAGTTTCAAGTCACTTGAAAATGATGCTATTTAAAATGGTCAAACTGAATTTTTATGTCATTTTTTTTTATACATCCTTTGATATAAAAGGATACACTATTTAAACTGAATTTTTACTTTTTTTTTTCTTTTTTTTTAAAGTGACTTAGAATTGGTTCCAGCAAGCTAGGGAACGCCAGAATTAGCCAAACACATTTTCATAAATTGAGTAAACACTCAATTCTTGATAACAACTGTACTGATAGTCAAAAGTACACAGATTTAAAAAAAAGTGAAAAAAAAACCCAAAAAAAACAACACTTCAGGAAGTTTACTAATATTAATTCTGACATAAGTTGTTGGAATAACTTAACAAAAAAAAATTGGACAGATACTTTGTCAGTATCATTTAACAAAACTTGTTTAAAAGAATTCTTGCTGCTTAAATACACCTTGTGAATGTGTGAGTGCCAAGAATTCTTCAGGAATCAAACACGCTATGCAGAGAAAATTATTAAACTTTAACATTCTGGAGGTGATTTTTGTTTGGAAAGCAAAAATTTTACCCTACCACTGCAAGTGACTCAGAATGATAGCATACTTGAATTTTGCAGTTGTGTTCTCATACCCTGCTATGGCAACAGAAAATGACTGAAATTAAGTAGCCTTGAAAAACAATGCAGTGGAAAGGAAAGTAGTGAATAATGTAGTGTGTTAAAGGCTAATCTATGCTTGATAGACAAGTGCTAAGTGTGGCACAGGGCCATAATAGGTGGGCACTTAGTAAGGATTCAACATGTAACATAAGCAATGGGCTGACAGTGGAGCTTACTAACCATTGTCCAGTAACAGCCACCCATTAACAGTCAAAGGCGACGACATTGGAAAAGATGACACCTAAGAAAATGTTCTGTTCTGAGAAAGAGTGTTGATGATTTAAAAGGAATTCAAAATGTATGTCAGGAGATAAAACAAATAAAAAAAAATATGACTTCTATTTCCACAGCCATTGACATATTTATGTCTTTATGGAACATTGTTTGATGTCAACATATATACATGTTTTTCAAGACACTGTGATATTTCCAAGTAGGCTTTCTTATAATAAGAATGTTTCCTTATAAGGAAACGGCTAATATTATCCTTAGTTTCCTTGGATAATAAAGTGTGTTTCTAATGCAACAACCCAAAAGCTTCAGAGTTAACATAAAAAAAAATACATAGTGATGGCCAGGGCCAGCATGTACTGCCCCCCCCCCCACGGGCAGGTGCTTTGTGACCCTTGCTATCTTATCAACATTTGCCTTTTTTCTACCAACATTTATATACATGACAAATTAAGCTAAGCACAATTGACTATTAAAGGATGAAAACTTTTGTGGATTTTGATGTCATTCTGGGGTCTTTTTTAATTTGTTTTTCTCATAAGTCTAAAAAAAAAAAAAATATATATATATATATATATATATATATATATATATATATATATATATATAAAATTCACTATTCCCTATCCATAATGTTGAATGTGTTGAAAATATTCAACTTTTTAACAAGAAAAATCTCAAGTTGATACTAAAAAATGCCGCCAAACATTGATTTATTTAAGATGGAATGATCTATTATGACATGTCTCTAATTTGTATTTAGATACATTGGATTTATTTTCAATTTTCTAGTTGAATTGTTCGCCTATATTACATATGATCCATTATTGTACATAATTAGGTTACAATAAAAATTGCATTTTATATGAAAATTGAGATGTAGTAGAGTAATTGTGTGTATGAAAGAATGCAGGGGGGGGTGCACAAGACCCTTGCACTGGCCCTATTGATAACTTATATCACCATGACAGGCCTGCCAAGCATATATTATTTGTATATGCTCTTTATGTATATAAGAGTGCTCTATTTTAAATTCTTTTAAAAGCTTTTTTTAATACACTGCAAATCCTGAACAAATTACATAGGCCCCTAAAACAGTGGTTCTCAAGTTTGTTTGTTTTTTTTACTCATGGACCACTTGTATTCTTAATTTTTTTGGTGGACCCCCATAACTATATGATGGAAAAAAAAAAAAAAAACTTATTTTATTTTTTCCTAATAGGTAAATTTAGGAATTGTATTATAGAAATAGTAAAATGAATATGCTTTAATTTAATGAAAATAAACTAGTGTTTAACAACTAAGTTCTATGGAACATTTATGTATGCTAGTAAAATGACTCATAAACCATTTAAAATTTTTTTACAATCAAAAGAACCAGTAGAGTAAAAGAGACTTGCATTGCTTGATCTCATTTTCTGCTACTTTTAGAGTTTTTCTATTTTCAGTATCTTAATATGGTATAGATTCCTGTAGAAATTCCAATTCTCACTTGTAACAAACGTTCCAAAGTGAAATTTCTCTGTGGACCACCTTCAATTAGCTATTTTTTTTATATGGACCCCTAGGGTCCATATGAACCTGGGTTGAGAACTATTGCTCTAATTAATTAAAATTTGATTAGCATTCAAGTGATTGATTTTTTTGTATTTATTCATAACTTTTAAAAATTTGATTTTTTTTTTTTAATCAAATTCCTGATTGCCTAAAATCTGAGCTATTTTTATGCTATTTATCTGAGCCATTTTTATGCTTTTTATTTTTAAATTTTTTTTTTGTTTGAGACAAAGAAGTTGCTAAAAATTCTTTCATTTGTTACACTCTATTTATCTCTAACTATAAAAGAGCAAGAGAATGATTTTTATATTTTAACATAAGTTATATGTATTCCCACCTAGCTTTCATGTATGCTCCTAAAATTAATAGTCTTTTGTAAAATGTCTCTCCAACCATTGTGAGAGGCATGTAAAGAGACTGTATTACTATCCCAATGTTTCTTTTTTTAAAAAATCCTAACTTTTAACATTGACTATTAAAACAAAAAGGCACAACTGATTCTTGATGTTGTTGAAATTCCACTTTGTAAGAATCTTTCAAAAAAATTTTTACGAACCATGTCTTGGAGTTTCAGATGAAAGTGAATGTTTTCTTTTCTTTGGCCCAACATCAATTGGAGCACAATAAATTCTCAGAAGAATCAGGCTGTTAGACAGGGAAGTTTCTCCCAGATCATGACACTGACCAAAAAAGATTTAATTTTTATCAATTTTTAAAAGGTTGAAAAGTTACAGAAAGTGGAAGGGGAGAAAAAAAAAAAAAAAAAAAAAGTAAACGATATCCCAGATACATATTTTTTTTTTTTTTTCACTCTTGTTTTAAACATTATTTTATAGTTGACTTAATATAGAATTTTTTTTAATCTGGAATATTACAAATCTGAAATAATGTAATCCTTACCTCATTCCAGATGCTACGAAAGAAAAGACAAAATAGCAACCAATGCACAGAGAAAATAAAAGGTGGAAAAAAAAAAAAAAAAAAAAAATAAATAAGAAATTACTAATTCCTGAAAGCAAATATATATATATATATATATATATATATAAAAAAGAAAAAATTGGGTGAGAAAATTAAAAGGGAGGGAGAGGGTAGGGGGGAAAAATAGCTCAGAAATTAGAACGGGTATCTTCTACCCATGTCAGGTGGCATATTTGGGTAGCCTGAATAGCCAGAATAATTTGGAAGAAACATCATACCAAAATGTGCTGGAGGACCGTTTGGTGGGGGTGGTGGCATTCCAAGATTCATGCTGTCCCTCTCAGACCACTGACCCTGCTGCTGCTGGAGTGTTGGTTGTGGAATGTCTCTTGTGTTTGCAGAAAAAGACGAGGACCTGCCATCTTGACCTTTATCACCAACGCCCCACCTTTGGGAGGAGCCATAATCATTTTTAGGAACTGACCCACTCTGTTTATTGTAGGCGTCTTGTGTGAAGCTTTCTGGTAACTGAATAGTGGCTGATTGAGTGAATGATTTGCTTGCAGAGGAACCATTATTAGGAGACGAGGCTACCTCCTGTTTTGGCATGGAGGAAAAGGTCTTAATCTCCAAGACAGAATCATTTGGATTATTATTGTCTTTGTTTGGCGCCAAAGTTTCATTTTTATTCCCCGTGCCAGTCTTGAATCGGAAATCACTGTCTTTACCAGAAGGAAAGTCAGCAGCAAGTGTCTCTGGTTGAGGAAGAGGAGATTTGTTTAAAGAGTAGGGCAAATATAAAGATGTCATTGGCTGGGGGCTAACTGGGTGGGAGGTAAGTCCGGGTGAAGTCTTTAGTGAAGAATAGCCTGTCCGAGTATCCAAGTCTTGTTTGATCCTTTCATCAGAGGAAGGGTAGCCGTACTGATTCTCAGAGCTCTTAGACTGGTTTATTGCACTTGGATAATTTTGATTGAAATTCTTTCTATCATCTTTCTCAGGTGGATAGCTTCTGTTACTATCTGGAGCCAGTGTTGAACACTCGACATAGGGCATAGGAGCATAACTGGGATTTGCTGAAGTGAAACGATTCTGTTCAAAATCCTTTCTCTCTGGATATGGTGATGAATAGTAATTTGGGTTATTGAACTTATTAGGATTTTTCGCCTCATAGTAGCCAGGATTAGGCGGATGAGGGTAACTGGGACCAGATATGGGCATTGGCGGCCGAGGCAGCTGAACAGATCTTGAGAATGGCAGTTGTTGTGACACCTGAGAAAAACCAAGTAGTTGAGACTGACTGTAGGGAGTTGATTCAGCTGGATGATTTGGAGGATGATGAACTTTGTAACTGCTTGGTTTTACATCATCTTGGATAGTAAATACCTGAGACTTATCAGTGGCATTAGAGTTGCCACCAGAACACGGAAGCATCCTGTAGTCTACATCATGGCTGCCAAACAACTCACTAAAATTAGATTTATCTTGACGACTTAGAGAATCAAATGGATTGGCAATTTGTCTCCGGTCTACATCTTTGCTTTCATAATCACTGCTAACACCTAAACACTGCTGTCCAGTGAAGCTCGCAGTAGAAGTCTGTGGCCAATTCGATTCCTGAGAACCTCCTTCATCTGGTTTTTGGGAAGATTGGTAATTAGAAGGGGAAGGAGGCTTACTGGTTGAAGTAGATTCTTTGGGATTCTGAGACTGGCTCTCAGAATATCTGTAGTCACTATGACGACTATTGCTATCACTATGGTAACTACTGTCTCGGTCATCCCTATGATCCCTATACCTGCCATCTGAACCCCGCCTTCTCCCATGACTGTCACTTCTATAATGGCTTCTGTGTCGGTCCCTGTCACGTTCCCTCTCTCTATATCTGTCTCTATCACTTCGGTGCCTATCTCGTCTCTCCCTCTCACTGCGATGCCGATATTCATGCCGGTTTCTATCACTATAACGACTACTACTCCGACTGCAACTCCTGCTTCGGCTCCGACTCCTGTGACGATGTTCATCTCTCCTGTCATGTCTTCTGCTTTCTTCACGATGATCTGTCTTCTTCTCAGTTGTCGAAGAACTGCTTCTACTTGTAGTAGCTGTGGTAGTATTATCATTATTGGTTTCTTTTTCTCTTCTCTGGCTATCTGCGGACATTATGCTGTCTGTCGTGTTGCTGCTGCTGATGGTAGGTTCACTCTTCACTGCAGTTGCTGTATTTTGGCCTACTGCAACATGAGAAATGTACAGGTCTGGATTTGACGTCACTACCGGTGCAGCCAAAGTACAAGGGTTAGTTGGGATACCGGGTTCAACTTTCACTGTACCTGGCTCAACCTTGATCCCTGGATAATTAATAGCATCCCTTACTGCTGCCATAACCGCTGCTATGGAATCAGATACTTTGTTTTGGGCCTGAAACGGAAAAAGTGTCAAGAGTTGTTTGTGTCAGATAAAAAAACAAAAATCAACTCTCAAATAGATTTACACCAAAACACATACATGCATAAATGAACAAGGTAACCCACCCTGTTTGTACAGTGTGTAAAAGTTTAAACATTTTAGTATTTATAGAATTTAATAATATACTTTATACAGATTTATGCAAAGATACAGAAGGGAGTGCAGAAAAGTTCTCAGCCCAACCAAAAAAAATGAAGAAAAAAAATAAAAAATTCTTAAATCTCATGTTTGGACAGATTTTGGGAAGTGGGTCAGGTCAAAAACTTTTCAACATCCACTTTTAACTTTTCATGTTTACTTCAATAAACCTTCCACACCCTTATCATTTAACTGATTTTTAATTCATTAATTTATTCCATGACTCAAAAGAGACATGAACTACAATAAATATTTAATAGCAAAATTAAACATGCATTTTATCCAATATATGGGGTGGAAACAAAGTTCCCACTCAACTTTATACAGGATGCGGAAAAAGTAATGGTATTCTCTATTTATTAACTTTTATTGAACAAAAATAAATTGCATGAGTTTAAGAAAACTTATAAAGTATTGTCATATCAAAAGTGAACGATTTATTATGATTAACAAACTATTTAACATGTTCAAAATGTTTCCCTTCATGTTCAATACATTGCTGAAAATCTATCAGCAACACTTCTGCAAACCATTTGACATATTTCTACATTAATTTCAGAAAATTTATCAGAAATTGTTTGTTTTAATTCAGGAATTGTTTTTATTTGAGCCCCTAAACAAGATCTTAGTAAAGAAAAGGTCTACTGGTGTTAGGTCTGATGATCATGATTTGCATCATCCTAGTCATGTAAGTTCAAAAGAAAGAAAAAGAGAGAGAAAAAGAGAGGAAGAAGAAGAAAAAGAAATGAAAAGAAACGAAGAAAAAGAAAAAGAAAAAAAAAAGAAAAAAGGGGAAAAGAAAAAGAAAAAAGGGAAAAGGAAACAAAAGAGGAAAAAAAAAAAAAAAAAAAAAAAGAAAAAAGGTTTTACTTTTGCTGCACCCTGTATATTTTTATTAAAAGTTTGTTTTCAATCCAACATCAGGGAGTCTATCTAGAGTTAATCAAGTACAATTAATGAATTAAAATTAGTTCAGAGGATTGTAATTTCCCAGTGATTCTTTTTAACACATCCAATAAATTTAAAGCGATATCCGAGTACAGCCGATAGGGCACCAGGCTCGTTTTCCGCAACAGGTGTTTTGACACAAAGAATTTTTCTTTTCTATTTGGTTGGTTGATTTGTTTTCTACAGTTTATCAACCCATGGCAGGTTATTTAAAATCAGGAAATATTATGCATTTTTTTTTTTTTTTTTAAAGATGAACAATTTTTGAGTGTTGCCTCAATTGAATGTCATTTTCTAGTGCCAAAATGTCTTGTAACCAAAAGTCTGAAGCCCAAACAGCTGCACCCAATCATCTGATTCCAAAAATTTAAACATCAATATTTTACCAAACACCTTTCACATGAAAATTGAATAACAAATTTTAAGGCAAAACAGGAGATATTTATGCATACTGAATGTAAAATAACTATTATGGGATGGATGGAGCATTTATCCTTAAATGATAGCATAGAAAATAATAAACAAAAATGAAGATATATGGAGAGAAAATAATTGGAAGCTTTCTGCAATTCTGTCAAATACGTAAAATGACCAAAATGGGTTTTTATTGCTTATGAACGTAATCTGTGTGCCTTTTTTCCTTTATTTTTAATTTTCTGTTTTAACTCAAATCCAAACATAACATCGACAATATTTATCTTAAAGATCTGAATGAATGAATGAACAAATGAAAGAATGAAAAAAAGAAGAAAGAAAAGAAACTGCAAAAGAGAAAAAAAGACAGCAACAACACACAGAGACTTACTGGTTGTTGGATACATGCTTGGGATGGCATGTTATGTTGCTGGAATTTCTTGTCATGACGGAATACCACTTCCCGTGGAGGACGTTTCTCAATTCCTTCCTTGACATAACTGAAGGAAACAATAGTGAAATGTAAAAAAGGAAAGCGTCACACAGACACAATCTAAATTTAATCCATATTGAAAACAAATTACAATTAGACACTATCAGAAAAGATTAAGTTGATGGACATTACTTTTTAATAGAGACAAAACAAATAATAATGACAAATGGTCTGGTCAGGTTAACTGACCACCAGACAGCAATAGAAATCTTTTTGCAAGATCTATAAAATCTATAATACCACTTGACTGTATCCCTTTTGCATATGAACACTATGCTTACTTTGTAAAGTTTTTGGTTTATTAGTTTCTTATAGTTGCTTTGATTTTGACTTTTCACATTATATATATATATATATATATATATATATATATATATATAATTTCAGATAGAATATACCTGTTGAAGGATAAAACAAATAAAGACAAAAGGGAAACTTAGCTGACGCGTTTCAAGGCAAATGTGAGCATTTTATTTTGCAACAAGTATTTATAAAACAAAAAGAAAAAAAAAAAACTTGTTAGTTTTTCAAAATTTAAGACACTTATAAATATTCATCAGGTTAATTGAAAAAAACTATATAAATTATGGTGGATGCTATGTAATTTTCTATATATATATATATATATATATATATATATATTTTTGTGGATACTTGTATTTGAGTAGACAATCCGTTTATTTATTAAATAGTATATTTATTTTGTCTACTGGCCTGAATATTACGGAAATCTTACTACAGAAAAATATGCACTCTCAGTCATATTTTTCTCTAAGATTTATCAAACATTCAGGCCAGTAGATGAAAATAAATAAATATACTGTTTAATAAATAAATGCAACATCTACTCAAATACAAGTATCCACAAAAATAACATTCAAGTAATAAAAATCTGTCAGATTAATAAATAAAAAAAGAGACAGGGAGAGTTTGTTTCTAATTAACCATGGCTAATTATTCTACAGTGTGTGGCAGAGAGGTATTTCCAAATTTTTTTTTTTTTAATACATAAATAGGCTTACCTGTCTACAAGGACTGAAGCAGTGTCTCTATGCAGCTCCACAAATTCTATCTTGTCAAATGGATCCACACCATCAACAGGCAATTTAAAATTGGCTTTCATCTCAAGGACAGCTTCGACAGGAACAATTTTGCCTTCAAGACAAACATGCGGATTAAACATTCAAAGAAATTTCTTTCTGATACAATGCCAATAAGGTAATAGCTATTGTTTTTAACACTAGAAGACCCATGGAAATTTCACATGTATCTTTATAGTTAATGAATACAAAATCATGCATGAAGAAAAACAAAAAGAAATAATTTGGGGTCACTGAATTCAGCATTGTAAAACCTGATGTCAAACACAAGATAATCTTTCAATTTAAAGAATTTCAATAGATTTCTGGTGAAAAATATTTCTCTTTTATCCTGCTGTTAACTACAACTAAGTCTTAACAGCAGAAAAATAGCATCCCATACTGTCTGCGGAATATGTTATGTCATTATAGATGAGATGTTACAGGACCATCCGAGGACATCTCATACAGAGATCACATCAAAAATGATATGCAGTGCAAGACACCATCAGGATAAGTGAAGAACCCTCAAAACCATTATTGAAAAAAAGTTGGGATGGTACAGAGGACCAATATTTCCACTGCCATCCTGCAAAGTACGTTCTTAAATAAATGAGGCAGACAGAGGTAAAATGACCTGACGACATCACTGAGTGAACTGGTATATCATTCCCATAGACATTGGCATGCAACTGAGATACATGGAGGGAGCTGGTCAGGTGCTCAATAGCACAGTGACATTGTTATCACAACTGGTCCAGCATGGTGACCCTTTTATCACAACTGGTCCTTGGACTGATTATGATTAAGTTTTAAAATCTGAAGATTCTTGTTCTAAATAAAGTCATAGTGGATGTTTTTTTCCACTAATGGTCACCCAATACAAGGCCCAAGATCCAATCAAGCTACTGGGTTACTGAACAAGGTTATTATATGAATATACTAACTTAAAAGCCAGACACTGGAGAGCTAATTGGGCCTCTGACCCCAAACTAAAACAATCTCTGGTCAAGCTTAGAAAACAGCAATGATAATCAAAGCATCAGATTAATTGAGTCCAAATCCGGCCAAAAATCCAAGTTAGGCCAAAAATTAAGTTCTTCAAATCACAAAATCCATGGAACTTCAATTGAGTTGAGTTCTTCAAATCACAACCTCTGTGAAACTTCAAAAACTCACGTTACGAAACCTCCCACTCTGATTCTTTGGCATTTTGAAGAAATAAAATTGATTTCCTCAATTCACAAAATTTTGGAGATATTTTAAACTGAATTTAAAACAAAATCTTTTAAAATCACTAATTTTTTTCAGTTATTTTAAATTTTTTTACTTTTAACTTTTCCCTCCTCATCCAGGCACAAATCCCAATGTTGGATGTTCAAGGTACCAGATGAAGAGCAAATTTTCAATCCAAGGATCATCCTGATTCCAAAAAGGTATAATATGTCTACGTAGAGCAAGTGTGGCTTGAGTTATAGGAGTTTCAGACACAGACAGGCAGACAGAATTTGCCGTTTATTTAGATAGAAGAGAGGAGTAAGAAATGCAGATTATGAGGATATGTAGGATAGATAACGGTTGGCTCTAAATTTAAGGAGGTCAAGAGTGTAGTGGTCAGGGAAGCATCCTCTTGGGAGTCTGTTCCACAAAGCAATAGCTCTTGGAAGAAACCCCTCTGAATAGAGCTTCCTCCTTACCAATGAAATACAAAAGGAATGAGGATGGTCCACCTCTGTATATAAGGCCTAGTAGGTTTGTAAATGTCTGAACTGGTGTAACTAGGTAATGTAGCTTGTCAGAATATTTTCAATGGAATTAATGATAGACAAGCAATAGGCTTGCGATGTAACAAGTGTGAGGGGAAAGAAAAGGTGGAAAATAATTCATCACCCACAAGGCCAAGTTTGAACTCTGTCAAGGCTGGAAAGAGAGGATTCAACAGCTCTGGCAGAAATATTTACAGCAAATTTAGTGTCAGCTTCAAAATATTTGGTCAGAATTTTTCCATTTTAATAAAATTAATAGAATAAATGGGGACTAAAATATGTCGTCACAATAAGATCAATGTAGAAATGATTATACACATGTACACACACAACGAGAGAGACGTCTATTAATATATTGTCAAATATAAAACAAATGAATACAATGACAAAAACTAAAAAAAAGATTTTATAAATTTAATATCAGTAAATAATTACATCAAGCTACGCACTTATTGACCCAAACTTTATATAGAAAGTAATTCCAGAAAGTAAAAGTGGAGATTAAAAAATGAAGGATTTTCAAACATGAAAAAATAAAGATTAAAAAATGATTAAAAATTTAAGATTAAAAAAAGAACAAAAAGATAAGGATTAGAATTTTTTTTAAATTTAAAAAAGATTTTAAAAAATTTAAAAAAAAAAAAAAAAAAAAAATAAAAAGTAAAAAGTGTAATGAATGAGTGGACCAGAGTAATTTTAGAAGATATTAGATGCCCAATTTGATCCAGTAAAATGTTAGAAAATTATGATTGTCAAAAGAAAAATACTTTTGGATAAATTAAAAAAAAAGAAAAAAACCTAAGTGAATTATATGGAATTATGAACTGAAATAGATTACCGTCTTCAACTGTTCGTTTTAATGACCGTCGCTCAAACTCATTGTGTTCTGGCACAATGACCCAAGCGATTCTCTGGAAACCTTCAAAATGCTTCATTTTGTTTCTTCGGGCTGAAGCATAGACATTTGTCTGATCGAGGATGTAGTTACGCTTACGTCGAGAAGCTAAAACAAAATGAGAACATCATGGAAAAGATAAAAACAACAACGAGTAAGCATTAAGCAAATTCCTAGAGAAAACACAAAGCGTAAGCAAAAAATTTGTTGTAGAAGAAACCACCGTTAACCGTTGTGTGCTTTTAGATTTTTTTCAGCCACAGTTTAAAGTAATAAGAAATGGTGTTGAATTATAAATAAAATACATTAATTCATTAGAAATCATACATACATGCATAAACATACACACATATAGTGGCTGTTGACTCACAAAGTGAGTATGACCATCACTGACATGTCCAGTCCATCAGTTAAACTACCCCCCACCACCACAAAACTGCATTCATTTGTTGCTAGCCATTGATCTGCATTTCTTGTTAAATATGTGGCATATCAAATCATCTCTGGATGGTGGAAGTCGACTTTGAACATCACTTCCAATGTATCTTTTTATACACCTTGTCAGGCCCGACCTGGATTTGCATACTCTAGTGTAGGTCAGGCATTCAAAGAATGCCATTACAAAATCGTCATATGCAACAGACTGTTGGTGTGATTTCTGCTGACTGAGCAGACCTGCCCTGGACAGACATGTCCAATGACATACATACATACATACACGGTACTGAAAAGTACACAGTTCAACCTACTTACTAAGATCTGACCAAAAGACCATACGTCAGAATTTAAAGGAATCCCTTGTTATCTTGAGTTGAGAACTTTTTATTGCCAACTGTGTGTGTGTGTGTGTATAAAAGTGGACATTGAGGTCAATACCAAGCAGCGATAATATATCAATATATAAAATTTTATATGTCAAGAACAATTTTGGGGGAAAGATGTATGACAAAGTGTGACACGTTTCATCCTTTAGGACTTCATCAGACTAAGCTTGCTTACATTGATGCAGCTACATATGCACACGAATGAGAGATGCTGGGAATATATATATATATATATATATATATATATATTCCATAGCTCAATGAACAAAAAAAGTATTTTTTTTCAAAAGATATTTTAGTTTTCAACATAATCCCCTACTGTGTCAATGCACTTGATTCATTGGTGACTATAAATCATTGAGATCAAATATTATACAATGAAAATTCCAGACCCCAAATGCCAGACCAAAAAATTATTTGCTCACCATATTCATGTGTGTATATTTTATATAGAATCTTCACAGAAACTGGTGCTGACAATCAGAAAGAGACAGCTGAAATTTTAAAGAGACATAGTGAGGAAAGGCTTAGAGATTTTAACACTCACAAGGCAAGAAAAGCAGAGGAAGAGAGTAGTCTATTTGGCAAGTTTGTGCAAATGGATGGAGGAACAAGTACCACAAAGAGAAAGAAGGGTTTGTAAAGAAGAAAGTATTGCTGTGAACAGCAGAAGATAGAAAGCTGTGGAGAGCCATGACAGCCTATGTCCTGAAAGAACATAGGGAAATAGAGTCAGACAATGAGCTGATTATTCCAAAAACAAGCTGATAAAAGAATTGACAGTTTGCTTTTGTAACAATAACATTCTTAGTAACATCAACCTCTTATGAACAAACCATGCAACATACATTCTTTGATATATATATATAGATATATATATGCTATCAAATATGGACTGGAATCTGACAGAATAAGATAAAGAACTAATAGGAAACATTTATCAATCTAACATGTTTCACTTTTATTAAAGCTTCATCATGAAGAAAAAAAAAACAAAATTGTGGTATTTTTACTTTTTTTTTGTTGTTTGGTTTTCATTGACAACATTTAATTATAGCAACATTTGTTTAACAAGTCAAATGTATGTGAAACCTGATTACTCAATAAAAGCCAAACACAAAAGTAAAAATACCAAAATTTATTTCTTCTTTTTCTCCATATCTGATTCTCTATTGAAGCTTTAATAAAATTAAAACATGTTAGATTGATAAACGTTTCATATTGGTTTATTTTTCTTATCCAACGTGTGTGTATATTATATATATATATATATATATATATATATATATAAAAAAAAAAACAAACAGACGAGAAATTCATTTTGTCTTACCAATTTGGAACAATTTCTTGAGACATTTTGACGCCTTGTCAATGAGCACTTCCCATCGGCCGTGGTAGTTTCGTTTTCTGGGCAATCCCATCACCCGCATTTTGTCAATGAGTGTGTCCGTCCCAATTATGTTGTACCGTTTTTCAGTGTTATCTTTCTGCTTCTTTTGTCCATATGTTGTTTTGCCTACTCCTGGCAGTCCAACAATCATATTCATCTATCAACAACAACAACAAGCAACATAATTAAGACACTGGAACAATACATTCCCCCTCCCACTCAGTCTGGACCTCTACCCTGAGCTAAACAATAAGATTGAATTTGGAGAAAAAAAAAAAAAATAAATAAATTGAGAAATCTTGTTAAAGAAAAAATGCATCCTCTGAAAGAATTCAAACCTGCATCACCCTTTGCAGGAAAAAAAAAACCATCATTAGATCCAATGTGCTTTTAACCAGCAGTGGTATCCTATTGCTTTGTGAAATTTGATTCTTAAAATTATAAAAGCTTAGCAAACTGCTTGTTGGATTATCCAAAAATAATTTTATATATTAATAGCCAATATATAATAGCCAAAAATATAATTAATACCATTGCTGTAAATTCTGCCAATGTTGAAAGAGGGTTTTCTGTGGTGAACATAATTTATTCTGACAAAAGAAATTGTCTTGAAATAAAAAATGTGGCAAATCTAGTTACAAATTTGATAGGTCTTTCATTAGATGTTTGGGACTGCAGCGATTCATTTCAAATGTTGCTAAGAAACCATGACACAGTTGATGACATAAGAGTTAAAAAGCATCATTCTTCTGAACAGAAATAGGATGAGAACAGAATTTCAAAAATATCTTAATAAATAAATGTTTTCTATTAAATTATCAAAATGGTTTAATTCTATTTGGTACTATATAGCAATTTGTTTCCATCCTCAGATTGAGAAAAAAAGCAGAATAGGTTCCTAAAGATTACTCGCCTTTATAAAAACGGTTCCTGGAAATTTGGGATGCTATTATTGCTTTTGACCGACTTGACCACAAAGGACGTCGTTGATCAAGCAAGGCTAAATAATGTCATCATTCTCATTCAGATTCCCAAAAGTTCATAACTGCTCAGTTTCATATCCAAAAGGTATACAAAGCAATTTCTAAAGAAGTAAAGGATTTTTTTATTTATTAATCTACATTTTCTTGCTTTAATAAGATTTCTCAAATATCCAGGCCAGTAAAATAACATTAAAAGTGATGAAAATATATATAAGTCTGTAAGTAATAAACATAATTATTAATTAAGTAATTAATAGAAATAAAAGTAGGTATTCTGTAATTAATAAAATTGTTCTTATCCAAACTCCTGATGAGAGAGAAATCATAAAAATTAGAGTTGATCTCCAATAAATATTGTGAACTTTATTAATTCAATAAGTTACAATATACAAATGATTCAGCTTACCTCACAGTCTGCTTTCTTGGAAGGCCCTGTGAGTCCACGGACCCGGTCATCCAGAGGGACATGATCAATATAAACAAAGCCAGGTGGAGGTGCAAACCAGGCATCAGTTTGACCAAAATTCACTTTGAACCTAAAAGTTTTGTTTCAAGTTGATTTCAATTAACAAAGGTGAGAAAAAAATAAAAAAAGAAAGAAAATAATTATCACATTTAGAACAATACATAATTTTCATATATAAACTTAAAATAAATAAAATAAACTGATTTAATATATTCAAAATGTTGCCTGAACTACCGAGAAGGATGTTTGGTTAGTGGCATATCAACTCCTTATGGGTCATTTAATGCCAAAATTTAATTTTCTTGAGATCATTATTAATTTACAAAAATGTATTGCCTGTATTTTTATACTTTTGTAGTATTTTGACCCCAGTCTATAGCTGAGACCCTAACAGATGGTACCACCGTGGGTTAGGGTGGACCTGGGAACAGCAATTAAGAAATGGTTTCACGCTCATCAAAACCTGCCTATCAGGGACCTTGTTGCAGAATATAGTTTGTCACACTTAGTTGTCTGAACTGCTAAGCAACTAACAAAAGTTGTTTACAAGTTTTCTGCAGCACATCAAACTTCAGAGAACACTAGTTTTTACATGAAAATGAATTTGACACACAATGAAGAGAACTAAAGAAACAAATAGAAAGAGAATATTCCCTTCACAAAAAACAAGTCTGCATTTCTTAGCAGTAAATTAAATTATAAGAATAAGCCGAGTGTAAATAGATTGTTTCTGGAATGTGGAGTTATTACTTCAGCTATAATTATTATGTCCTCATCTTTTGCTGCTATTTATCACGTTTTTGGCTTTTGTGCCCTTTGAACTTTATCAATTGCTTGTCAATCAAAAGGAAATTTCAGAGAATTTTGAACTATACTCTTTATTTAATCTACGGGAGTAGACTGTTCTCATTCCGCTATCCATGTCTAGAGATATATTTTATTTACTTCTTATTTAGTACTGATCAGAGGAGGCACGGTGGAGTAATGGATAGTGGCTTGGATTGAGGAATCAGAGAGCCAAGTTTGAATTCCAGTCGAATCCATTACATTCACTTACGTGCTAATACCCTTGGGAAAAAGGTGAATCCTCTTCTCCCTCCAGCTGTGTGTAAATAGCAGGACAGACTGGGTTCTATAGCTCTGGATGGCAACTGGTCTAGAAGGACAACTCTGAATTTCAATCTTGGAGTGGAGCCCCTAAGGCGGATGGACGGCACTTTGTGCTATTTTCTGGCAATTCCTGCAGCCACGTTAGTACCAAACTATATTGGTTTATCCTCTCATTTGGACTCTGCTAGCATGGCCAAGATGGGGAACTAGATATCTGGGCAACCCTAGTTCTCCATATATCCCACCCAGGCTCGTAGCACTCGGCGCTACTCCATCTTTACTTTCATCATTACAACTCTTTAGTCTTATTTTACCCAAAAGTCAAAGTTTCAAATAACTGAATGCACGTTCTTTTACAGTTTATCAACCTTTTGCAAGATTTTTTTAAAGTCAAAAAATATTTTTTTTAGATTGTAAGATTTTTTTTGAGATAATGACTTAGTGACACAAATCGTACTAATTAACCCATAGCTGAGGAGAAGCAGAGGTGGAGTCATACCCTTCCTCAGGGTATTTGCATATAAGTGAATATAACAAACCCAACTGAAATTGGAACTTTGCTCTGATTAAAAATTCCAAGTCATTATCCATTACACCACCCACACATCCAAGCTTACAGCACCTATTATTCCCAAGTGGTCACCCATCTAGGTACTGACCAGACTATGTTGCTTAACTTTAGTGATCATATGGGCATAGTTTATACAAAGATGGCGTCAGTTAGGCTTGACAAAGCCATCTTGGTAGAAAACAGTTGCAGGAAAGTCAGTGTTTTGGATATTATATTTTTGCCAAAGATAATATAAGGAACAAAAAGAAAAGAAAGACAGACCAAAAGGCAGACACCTACTACATGCAATAATATAGTGTTCAGTGTCTAAAACAAAGCAATCATTTTAACTAGCAACACCGAACCAAATCTCGTCTCAAAGAAACTAAAAAGATTTCAGAGCAAAAGGTCTTGCCTATAGCCTATGTAGCAATATGGTCTGGAAAAAAATAAATAAATAAAAACTTAGGGATACTGTACCGACAATTTTTGGTGAGTATATGTGGGAAGAGAGCTTTGGATTTTACACCAACAGGGTAGTTGTGTAAGGTATAGGCAGTTCCAAACCAATGACCATTTTTGGTAAAAGAAATGGTCGGAGGATGAGATTGGAGATCCAAGAGAGAACCAATGACATCACCAACTCCAAAACGTTCACCATAGTCAGAAAACTTTAAGGCTACAGAGAATTTTCCAGTTCCACCATAGCCAAAAGAATTTTCAGATTCACCTAAAAACAAAGAAGAATTTGACAGAAATCATTTTTTAGAAATAACTCTGGGGGAAAAAAAAAAAAAAAAAAATCAACCTGTAAAATTGTTTGTTTAGCAGCATATCAACACTTTATGGGTCATTAAATACCAAAATTTAATTTTCTTGGGAGCATCAGTAATTTCTTTTACAAAAATGTATTGCTGGTATTTTTACCATAAATTTTTAACACTTTCATCATTCATTGACTCAATTTCGGGGGTTAACTTAACTGGGATCCTAACAGGTGGTACCATCCCCTGGGTCAGGATGAACCTGGAACAACAACAATTCCACATGCCTCAAAACCTACCGATCATGAAAGGCCTTGCTGCTGGATGTAGTTTATCATTTTTATATGCAAAATTGTAATACTGTTAAATAAGAGTTTCAAACTATTATTTTTTAGTGACAGTGTATTTTGGCTCAGACGTTCTGAGGCTGACCATTAAGGTCAGATGGTAGACAAAATAAGGAAGTAGATTTTGATTGGCTCAGCCAAATGTGGAAATGAGTTATAGAATGAGATTTTTTCAGAAATTGAACAAACTAGTGTGTCAGATTGTGCAACCCCCCTGCCCCCAATGGGGAAGGGTTTTTCAAGAGTTAGTTGTTATACATCAAAGGAAATGGACACATGAGATTTTTGTGTTTGAAAGTGGCTCCTTAATAGGGGATGTAATAACCCCCCACTTAATAGATGTATCCATCAATGTGGTTAATAAAATAATAATTTTCTCTTTGCTGATGCTTTTCATCTCTGAACCCAAAGAACATTTTGCAACACTGACCAAGAGAAGAAGATTGAACTAAAACGACCAGTGATCACTGGCTAGATGAGATGACCCCCCCACCCTCTGCTCCAACAAAGGGTATACAACAATATAACAATTGTTGAGTAATTTCAAAAAAAAAAAAAAAAAAAAAAAAAAAAAAAAAGGATATAGTTTTGTTGAGCCTCAAGGAGATGTGTTGTGTTAGATTTTGCAACTATCAAAAAACAATTTACAATGCTAATTTCAAAGCAAACAATATAGTTTTCTGGGCAAAAAACAAGGGGTTCATGTCTACATTACATGACCGACATTTTTTCAGGAGTCAAAAATGGTCCAATGTTAACAGATCTTTTATGTACTGTCCCCTTTCAGGACATGGGCAATCATGGCTCTCCACAACTTCATATCCCTTACAGCACTAAGTAATGTTTACCTTCTTAGTATCCTTCCTAATCCCTATCCTGCCATCCATTTGAACAAGCTCATTAGATAGGCTTCGCACTGTTTCCCCTCTCTGTCCATCTTGATTTCAATATATCCTGTGAATGACAAATTTCCCAAGCCTTTTTTCCTCATGTGTCAGAAATTTCAACTGTGTTTTTCTGATTCTAAGTGCAGGTGTCCTTTTTGTTTCCATTATCCTTAATACTTTGTTGCTGCCCACATGTTCCATCCATAGTTATTCTCAGCATCCTTCTGTAGAAACATATCTGCTATCTCAAGCCCTTCTTCATCTTTGAAGAAAGTGCCCAGGATTCAGTACCATATAGAGAAGAATTGATATTACATAGTGTTTCAACACTCTTGTCTTTGTTTCCAATAAAGTTTTCCTGTTTCTTGATACTATGATTAGTTCCAGGAAGGTATCTTTTGTTATTCTCGGAATTTCATGATATTAGATAAATTGAGTAAATATGTACAATGGATTAAAAGAAAAAAAAAAAAAATGAAATGTAGCTTTACAATATTAATTGTCCATTGTATATAAAGCCCAAAAAAAATAAAATAAAAATAACACCTTTCCTAACGATTTTAAAAACTCACACTACCAATATTTTCCCACAGCATCTGAACCAAAGAGGTATCCCCTGTAAGGCACTCAAATCTTTCTACCGATATGACAAATGATTAGCCCTGTGAGACAAGCCTGCTAACAAAGATATTTACACAAGCTTAGTCTGGCATAACTGTAAATATAAGTTCTATGCTTCTCTCACACTATTCACCTACGGTTTCTTGCTTTCATGTCAATAACAATCTTCAAAAACTTAAATGCAATTGCCATTTTCTGTCTCCTTGAATCCTCAGTAACCCCTTGTGGCTTTATTGCTTTGCTTGGGGTGAAATAATTTAGGGTGAAAAATAAAAAAGGCCATAAATATGAAGCACTCTGTTGGGATTGAACTTATAACAGTATTTTCCAATTCTGTAAATATAAACATTTTCTTTTTTTTTAACACTATGAGTACAGTGGATTTTATAAGCACAAGAAAAAAAAAAAAAAAAAAAGATACTGATAGGATTAAGCCTTTGCTAATGATTAACATCTCTAATAACAACAACTGTCCATTACAAAATTGCATTTGATCAATACAAAGACTTACCTAACTGGAAGCAACAACTGTCAACTGACCACCCCAATCTCACCACGTGAGGATCTGCCTCTTGATGGTTATCTCCATAGACCACAGGGAGATTTTCCGTTATATGAACTTCAAAAAAAACCTAAAAAGAGAGGGGGGAAAAAAATGTTCTTATGTAAATAAAATCCTGCACTTTTCAATATCTAGTTTGATTTTCTATTATACAGCTGCAAAATCAGAGCAATTTGGTTTGATACTCTTCAAGCGATGACATGGTGGCATAATGGATAGCATCTTGAATTGAGGAATCAGAGAGCAGAGTTCAAATTCCAGAGGAGTTCATTGAATTCACTTATATGCTAATACCCTTGGGAAAGGGTGCATGTTGTCTCAAAGAAAGGAATTGCTCCCCACCCCAACCTACTTCAAGCCATGATAGGAAATAATGGACTCCTTGGACTTAGTACTATGGTCCAAACAAACATGATGCTGGGACATGATTATAAAAAAAAAAACAAATGGAAATTTAAAACAAGTAATCTGAGGGATAAAATTTATTATGTCCAGAAAATCACGTTTATTTAAGGTTTCTTGTTCATAGATATTTTCATAAAATTATGAATAAAAAACTTGTTTCTTTTCATAGTTATTTTTCTATAAAATGGTAATTAATAAATATTGCATTGTAGTTGGCTCATATTTTGAAAATTTTGTAGGTTTTCATGAATTTTTAAAATAAGATTTTTTATTATTAATTTATACAATGGTAAATAATACATACATATACATATACATATATATATATATATATATATATATATATATTTGCAGGACTCATCCTGTAGTTTTCGATATATAAGAGTTCAGCAGTTCAGTTCTTAGACTATCCACACCATATTTGAATATAGTGATGAAGTCTTGTGCAAAACTAACCATACTTTTTGGAATATGTCACACGATCTCCACAGCAACACTCCTCTAATTTTGTCCTTCTCCTAAACTGGTTACTAATCAAGCTCAGAGTGTACAGTCTATCCTATTTACCATAGAGGAGAAAAGATTGATTTACACCTTTCCCAAGGGCATTTGCACATAAGTGAATATAACATACTCAACTGGAATTCAAACTCAGCTTCTCAATTTCTCAGCTAGAGTCACTATCCATTACACCCCTGCACATATATATTATCTTCTTAGAATTTCATTTATATATTTTATTTTGTAATTAATGGAATTCAGAATATATGACATATTACAAAATCAATTTGTTAAAATAAATCACTTTAAGTTTTTAAAGAATTCCAAAACTGAGAGATAATATAAGTCACAACTTACTTTACCACGAGTCACGCCATAAGTGGCTCGTGCTCCTGCCCAACAAAAACAAAATCCTTCAGGTTCAGTTAAAGAATAAGCTCCATACCTGAAATATGGAGAAAAAAAAAAAAAAAAAAAAATTATATACACACACATTACTACAATTTAAAATTAAATTTGCTTTTCAAAAATAACTTCATTTTTTTTTTTTAGTCATTGAACCTTTACTTTATCCATTGTCATTCCAATGCTCTATTTCAAAGTTGTTAATCAGAAATATTAATTTTTTTTTTTAAGAAAAAACCAACAAATAAAAAAAAAATTAAAAAAAATAAACAATAACAGTGTGGCAAAAAAGAGTTTGGGAAATATGGATAAATGTGCCCACAAAATATGAATAAAAAAATTGTTTTCATAATTATTTCTTTTTAAAAAAAAGTTAAAGTGGTGTCACAGGAAAAATTGCCTTTAAAAACTTAAAATTGTTGTTTTGACACTACGTTTTATTATTGTGGGTATGTTTATCCATATTTGCTAAAAGGTTATTTTTTACGGTTTTAAAAAAGCTAAATTTCGAATTTTAATCAGACCCAAATATATGAAACTGAATTTATGCATTCTCATTTTGCTAGAGAATGAAAAAAAAAAATTAAAAACTATTTATTGTTTATTTAAAAGGAATAATTTATATTTACAAGTTTATAAAAATATGTAAACAAACTATTATTTATTACTTACCATATTATAAAGAAATAATTATGAAAACAAAAAAAAAAATCCATTTTCTGGGCATCACGAAAACAGTTTGCAAGCATCTGGATTCATACTATTTTTTCCGCAAGGCTTAACAAAAATATTAAACACTATTATATTTTATTTACAAAAATAGTGCTTAACATTCTTGTTGTCAATTCTTGATAATAAAAAAAAAAATTTTAAAACAAAAATTGACAAGAGAGTATGCAGTAAGAATGGTATCAAGAAAAAAACCATCCTTTTGACACACCATTTTTTTTGTAGGTATATTTGTTAAACTTTGCCATTTTTTTCCTCCCCTAAATGATATCAAAAGATCGATGGGATACATAAAGACTTATGAAAACAACCTAATCTTGGGTATGACAATAAACTACATCTGGCAACAAGGCCTCTGATCAGGAGATTAGGGGTTTTCAGGATTGTGGCCCCACCTCTTATTTGTTGTTGTTCATAGTTCCACCCTGACCTGGGGTGGTAGCACCCATTAGGGTCGAAGCTATGGGCAAATTATGAGCCTATTAACAAAACACTATGAAAGTATAAAAATACATTTTATAGTTAAAAAAAAAAAAAAAAAAAAAAATAATACCTTTTTAAAGCAACATGGCCAGCAATGTATTTTATCTGCAGTTGAAGGCATACAATTGCATTCAAAATATTTAGATTTTGGCATTAAATAAACAAAAACGGTTGATATGCCACTAAACAAAATCAACCAAAGAACATGAAAGAACTTTTTCATGACATTAAGCTATATAATATCTGACAATTTCTTCAATCAAGCAGTATTCCAAAATATACCTTCAACAAAATTGCAACATCATCGCCTCTAATAATTATGTCCCCATAAATATGTACATGCTCAAAAGCTGTTTATCATCTACCATGTATACAACTGTGAAATCAGAATAACATTCTTATTACTGCAAAGCTCCCAAGAAAATAAAATGTGGGCATGAAATGACACATAGGGAGTTGAAAATCCGTTAAACAAATCAATCAAAAATTATGAAATCAACCCAACTTACCCATCAGGGTCAATTATCAGGTTCAAATCAGAATTGTAATGGTCAATCACAGTAAAGGAGTGGTCAGCAATGACTTCATCAACATTTAATTCAGGATCAGTCTTTTGTCCCCAACCATTATATGGCCTGCAAAGCAGAGAGAATATGCAATCAAAACAAAACAATTAAAAAATCACATGCTTGTGCATTTCTTTCATCAGGCACAAGAGATATGTATAAGCAAAATGCCACAAGTAAATTTAAGCAAATTTTGTGCATCATTTAAAAAACTTTTTTTTTTTTTTCCCTCAAAACATTTTTTTTACTGGGGATGCGCAGATGGTGTAATTGCTATCAATGCAGCAAAACTGAACGGGCAAGTTCAAATTCTGGCTGTGTTGTAGCATTCACTTTTTTTCACAAATGCCATTGAGAAAGGCATGTATCCATCTCTTTTTTCCCTCCCCAGCTATGGGCTAAATAGCAGGGTAGACTAGGTTCTCTAGCCTTGGGTGTCAGACTAATAGAAAAAAAGGACACTGAATTCCAAACAAAGCAGAAGGCAACAGGAAACTACAACATTATTTTTACCAAGAAGTCATGGCAATTGACAGATAAAAAAACAGAATCTGTGGATCCAGAATAGCCAACTTCTTTGTGGGGTGTGGGGAGACATAGGACATTAAAAATATTATTATGATTACATGCAAAAAAAAAAAAAAAAAAAAAAAAAAAAATCAAGTCTTTTATTATTTACACTATTTACATTGTTCAGACTGTTGTTCTATCATTGCTGTCATATTCACAATGTTTCAGATGTTGTACGCTCCAGCCTTCTTCAAGTGACTGGAATATTGAACTGAACCCTTTATTTCATCCACTGGGGTAGATTGTTCTAGTTCTATGTGCCATGCCTCTTCCAGATATAAGTTTCAGTTATTTCCCTTTAGTAACCCAACTTTCCAGTGTAAATAGTTACACTAGCTCATCTCAGAAATATAGACAGATATTGAAGGATTTTTTTTTTTTTTTTTAATCAGGTCATCCCATAAGTTCTGTCCGAATTTTGAATAAAGAAAACAAGTGACCAAATGTTACATTTAATTACAGATTGAATCAACAATGTATTTTCCCTGATTATCTGACTTCCTTCCATCTATTAACAAGCTTACTAATTCCATTACTGTAAAATTCTTTTTGCTTTGATTCGAAGAACTCACAAATGTCAGTTTTAACCTCTTCCTGTGTTACAAAAGCTGTTTCTTCCAAATGATTCTGTAAGCTACGAAACAAATGGTAGTCTGAAGGAGCAACATCAGGAAAATAAGGTGGATGAGGAATTTTCTTCCAACCAAGTTCTTTGATCTTTTTTGACGTGATTCTTGCTGTGTGGGGTCGCGCATTGTACTGATGAAACATCATCTCTTTTCGATTCGCTAGAGCAGGTCTTTTTTCCCTCAAAGCTTGGTTCAAATGCTCTAATTGCTGACAGTATATTTGAGCATTAATTGTTGCATTAGGTAGTAAGAATTCAAAGTGGATTATTCATTGGCGATCCCACCAGATTGAAAGAACCTTTTGCCCATGAAGATCCCTTCTCGTCTGTGGCTGGGGTCCTTCCCCTTTACCAAGCCACTGTCTACGACGCTTAACATTTCAATAAAACATCCATTTTTCGCTGCCAGTCACAAGTCTATCCAAAAACGGTGAAACAAGTTGGCGAGAAGAGCAGATGTCAACTCGGGATTTGAGTTTGTTTTCAGACAATTCATGAGGCACCCATTTTCCAAGTTTAGGAACTTTTCCAAGTTGTTGAAGATGACGATGAACTGTTGTATGGTTTGAACTGAGAACCACTACCAATTCCTCAACTGATAAAGCAGGATTTTCTTCAAGGGCTGCTTCAAGAAGCATTTCATTAAACTCAACTGGACGTCTGGTTCGATCATCTTCAAGGGTGAAATCTCCACCTCTGAATTTTGCAAACCATCTTCTGCAAGTTCTTTCATTCACACATTCCTCTCCATAAACTGAGTGAATGTTTCTAGCTGCTCTGGCTGCTGAGTTTCCTTTCTTGAACTCATAAAGCATTATGTGCCTCAAATGATTCTTGGGTACTTCCATCTTAGCAGGGTTTTAATCAAGCAAAATTTAATTTTATTGTTCTCTAAAATAAAATTTGATCAGTTTAAATGCATCTAAACATAAAAATAATGTTCAGCTCCATTAGGCATTATAAAATACTCTTTAAATTTCGTTCATTTAAAAAAAAAAAAAAAAAAAAAAAAAAGGTAAAATTCAGGCAGAACTTATGGGATAACCTGATATTATAGAATGACTTATTTCAAGCATAAAATTATAATAATCTCTTTTTTCTTTCAAGTTTGTTGAAAACCATTCTTTTTTTTTTTTTAATATTTTTTTTTATCAAGACTTTATGGTAAATTTGTGTTATAAATTGTAATTTTAAAATTTACAAAAACTGAAAATGATTTCCTCAATAGTTTATTAATTTTTTATCATTTTTAATATTGTACTGAGGAATCCAATTATAATCATAGATAATGTGACAAAAATCTGTTGGTCCCAAACTCTTTGCAATTTCTCATAACAATTTCAAGTAAATAAATTTTGTATCCATAAATGTAAACTTGTTTATAACAATTCATTTAATGAAATAAAAAAAAAAAAAAAAAAAAAAAAAAATTTATAACAGATTGAAATCACTCCAATGTTTATATCCTTTGCTTGATGTTAGCTGCCAGTTATTGTTATTCAAAAAACAGTGTCATCCAAAATGGATGACACAATGTGGCTTCTTCTATAGTTGTTATATCAATTTAAATTTTACTTTACATTTTCTGTCATATCTTGCAGATAAGCAAATAAAGTTAACCTTTATCACTCTGTATGTGATTTCTTTTAGTTTATCCTGCCACTGAAGGTGACTCTGATCCCTGAACAATAGGGTGTTTGAATTTCATAGTTGTGTTGTCATACCCTTCTATGGCAACAGGAAGCACCTTTGAGTGAAATTAACAATAAGGATACTGCAATTGAGAGGGATTGAAAATGAATGCAGTGGAAAGGGAAGTAATATTATTAATGCATAGTGCTAAATGTTAATAGTGTAAAAAATTCCCATACGTTACATTATTTACTTTTTTTTTTAGAAACTCATATATAAGCAACATGTTGCAATGGTTAGTAAGTTTGACTCGTTAGATCAATTACGACTAAATAGTGAGTACAATTCTCACTGGGTGCCCCCCCCCCATACTTTTGGCCTTCTGCAACACTTAAAAAAAAAAAAAAAAAAAAATAATATATCACCATATATAAGCAACAGTATATAAATTTGACTAAATCTTAAGCAACTGTTATTGAAGTCAGTGTGGATTAAGTAATAAAAGAAAAAAAAAAACAATCAAAAAAAGAGGGGGAGAATAAATGGTAAAACTAAATAAAAAGAAATATTAACTACATTATTTTTTACTTTATTTAAAAAAAAAAAAAATATTCTACCATTTCTACAGGTTTAGTTACTGCAAAATGTCGGTAAAGTTTAATCTTCATATCTGAAAAAAACAAAAACAGTATATCAAAAGGATAGTTTTTCCTTTAACTACCTCAATGTTTATAGTTTTAAAAAGTGATGATCAGAATTCTAATAAAACTCAAACATAAGAAAATGAATTTATACATTTTCTTTGTTCTTGAGAATTTACAACAAAAATATCAAACAATTTATTTATTAGATTGTTTATTTACAAGAATAATTTTATATTTACAACTGTATAAAAATAAGCAAGCCAACTGCAATTCAATGTTTACCATTTACCAATTTGTAAAGAAATATGAAAACAATATCTTTGTTCATAAATTTATGTTGATTGTTTAGGTAAAATATTTGGGAAAGGACCAGAATCAAAAAATTCTAAATTTTTCCAAAATATTTTATCTAAACAATCAACATATTTCCAATATATTGAGGATGCTCTATTAATATATCCCTGTGATATTCATAAAAATTTACTAAATTATAAAAAATATGTGAACCAACTATACTGAAATCTTTATTATTTATCATTTTATAAAGTTTAAATTAATTTGTTTTTTTACAGGTTAACTTTTTGTGGGTTTTATTAGTTATTACTTTTATTAAAATGTATAAATTCCCATTCATATGTTTAGGTTTTATTCCAATTCTAATGATCACTTATAAAACATTGCTGAAAAGGGAAGGTAGTTAAAAAAAGTGGTGTCATTGGTAAAAACTGTCCTTTTGACACAACATCGATGTTTTCTGAAGAAATATTCAGACCCTAAAGCCACTCCTTCTGTTTAAAGGGTGGGCTGCAAAGACTTGATGTATATAGTCTCCAATAATTTCAAGCAACTGAATTTTTTTTGTGGATTATTTAAAACCAAAAACATATTTTGGATTATAATAGTTTGTTTGCAAGTGAATATTGTATTAATTTTTTGGAGATAGCAATGATTTTTCCAGATACAAGTCCTAGCTGGGAGGAGAAGTGATGGATTCATTCATTTCACAAGAGTATTTGAATGCAAGTGAACCTAACTGGAATTCAAAATCTGTACTCAGATTTGTCATTCCAAGCAACTATCCATTACACTACCACTTTCAAATGAAAGTCCAAATTTAACAGACTCAGAACATGGGCAAATTCAGACTTTCATTTGAAAGTACTGGAGACTACATTAAGTCTTTAACTCTGGGTATGATGATAAACTGTATCCGACAGCAAGGCCTCTGATCGGGAGACTGGAGTTTTTCAGGAATGTGGAACAATTTCTTATTTGCTGCTGTTCCCACGTCCACCCTAACTTGAAGTGGCAGCACCTGCTAGGATCCCAGATATGAACAAATACTGAACACCCAAACAAAAACAATATAAAAGTATAAAAATACATTTTTATAGTAAAAATACCAGTAATTCATTTTTATATATAAAAAAAAAAATTACCAACAATACATTTTATCTGTAGTTGAAGGCATATTGTGTTCAAAATATATTTAGTTGAAGCCATAAAATTGTGTTTCAAATATTTAGACTTCAGCATTAAATAACCCATAGAGGTGTTTATATGCCACTAAACAAAATCAAACAACCAGCATGAAAGAAATCTTTCATGACATTAATCCATATAATATGCTACAATTTCTTAAGGAAATCAAACTGTATTCCAAAATATAACTTCAACAAAACTACAACATGAAAGACACATATCATAGTAATTATGTCCACACAAACATGCATATGTAGAAAAGCTGAGTATCATCTACTATGAATTCAATTGTGAAAGCAGAATAACATTTCTGTTAGTTCAAAACTCCTAAGAAAATTAAATTTCAGCATTAAATGGCCCATAAGGAGTTCATAAGCTGTTAAATAATATATATACAGCCCTCTTTCTGTAAACAGACAAAACATATTCTCAATTGAGTCTGGTAAATATGGACTTTCACTTAAAAGCATTGGCAACTATATACATTAAGCCTTTACAGCCCACACTTTAAACAGGATTGGCTTTTGGGTCTGAATGTAATTTACTTGTGATTTTGATTAGGTTACATTGTACCAATATAAGACTGTCAAATCATAAAGGAATAATATGTACAAGTTTTAATCCATGAAAATTTCAGTTTTCCTATTTTAATATTCTGATGAATTCTAAGTTAATTATTAAATAAGCTCATGGCAAGTTCTACGACAATAAAATATCCATAGTAATCCCATCACATTGTTAAATATTTGAGCTTGACAACTTTAACAAAATATTGCAATAACAATCATAAATATGAATGCTGGTCGTTATTTTAAGAAGTGGGTACAAATGAAAAGATTTGAAATTAGCAACCTTTTCCATTTCACTGAAACAAAGGTTAAGCACTTCTATTTTTCCATCTTTCTTTTTTTTTTCTCACTGAAACCAAATAGTGTCTTCCCCTCCCTTTCCACATGATCAAAACGAAATAGTCCATTATTTCTGAAGAATTGGCAGGATACATTAAACACTATCTTTCCTTCTTTCATTTTCTCACTGAAATCAAGATCAAAATGGAATAGTCCATTATTTATTGTATTGGCAGGGCGTAATGGTCGAGTGAACTGAACGAAGAAAGGGACAAGCACGATTATAATAGGATAGAATGACCAGACCTTTTTTCATTGCCATAATTAAAGTATGGTCCATTTTTATCGCTGTAGCTCTGCTGTGAAGATGAATTCCTGTTGAAAGGCGGGATAGTGACTCCTGGCAGTTGGTTGTTGGAGTAAGGATAGCCAGATTGATTTGCATTTGCTGAACTGTTACCATTCAGCATTGACACTAAACTGTACGCTGAATAGAGATTCATTTCTGAAAATTAAAAAAAAAATATGGTTTTAACAATTAGTTGCTTCCTTAAGATTAACAAACAATTCTATTGGTCTTCCCAAGGTGTGTACCTCTGAGTTTCAAATAGACTAACATCATTATTCCAACCATCATTTTCATTAAATATTCAGATGAAACAATTTATCCTAGAATGCTTACAATCTAAATTAAAGGGTTGGAGAAAATTTGCTAAATATTTAATAAAAAGAAGTGGTTTGAATAAGAATGTTCCAAGTGGATTTTCTATTACATAAATCATATAATTGCTTTTATTTGCAGATGGTTGTTTTTGTTGCATGAGCATTGCTTTGAAGATCAGAAGTTTGTTTTTGCTAGTATCTTGGTATGTTTGAGTGAAAGATTATTTGTAATTTGGAAAAGTCGATCAATAAAATTAATTGACACAAAATGTCTGCCTTTAATAACATTTGCTGCCTATATACACACAATTATATATATATATATATATATATATATATATATATATATATATATAAGAGTTGGGATCAAATATGGAATCCGACAGAATGATAAGGTAAAGAACAAATCAACATGTTTCACTTTTACTAAAACTTCAGAGAATATATGAAGGAAAAAAAAAAAAATCTACTATTTTTACTTTCTTGTTTGATTTTCATTGGTTACCGCAATTCCCAATGTATAATACACCTTCATCCATAAGACATCCACCTAAAATTGTGCTGAAAGTGTGGAAAATGCTTCTACTCACGCATAATACACACCCCTTCTTTGGTAATCAAGCCCAATAAGTTTTATCTCTCTGATTTCATTACGGCCAGTGTTTTCTACTATTATTTAAAAAAAATGGTTTTAAACATAAAATAATATTATTCTAATTTAGTTTTATAATTCCTATTTTATTTTACACAATTTTTTAAAAGATTTTTTGTAGCTGTGCTTATTTTTTTAGAAAAAATATGCCTATTATACATAGGGAATTACAGTAATGATATTTCACATGCAATCGACTTTTTAAACCAACATTAATATAATTTATGGTGTTCCAAATTCAAAGAGAGACAACAGGTTCAACCAAAGTTTCTGAATCCCACATAGACAAATGAGAATTATATACACTTACATATAAAGCAATAATTACAGTTTTCCAGGTAGTTAATTTCTTGAAACTTCAGATGAACATGTCACTTCTTGAATTCAAAACACCACAAATTATTGTTGGTTTAAAAAAGTCAAATGCATATGAAACATGTTTAACCAAGGAAAAAAAATCAAACTCCACTAAAGTAAAATTACCAGTATTTCTTTCTTCTTTTTCTACATATCTCATTCTTTGATGAAGCTTCAATAAAAAATGAAAAATGCTGATAAACATTTCTATGTTATTTATTTTATATATAGCGTGTGTGTGTGTGTACGCGTGTATTTAGGCAACAGATGTACTTTTAAGGCAAATCTTATACAACACAGACATTGTGTTGTAATTTTATTGATCGACTTCCAACTTACGAATAACCCTTCTTTCAAACATACGCAAATACTAGCAAAATCAAATAAAAACAAACCTGATTGTTGAAGCAATACTCATACAATAAAAACCATCTGTAAATAAAAACAGTTATAAAATTATAGTTAAATGTACTTAATAATAAGAAAAATAAACACACACACACACACACACGTTGCACTACTCACCAGTTCTATGAAACTCACCATTTGTCTCTACCTACCCTGATGATGACTTAAGCCGAAAGATTAGACCATATTTCTTTGAAATGAACTTTGGACAATTTCTGACGAAATTTTCTCCTTAGAAGGCTAATCACTAAGTTATTTTGTATATACTCATATTTGAGTAGGTGATTCAATCAGTTATTAAACAGTATACTTATTTATTTTCACCTACCAGCCCGAATATTTGAGAAATCTGATTAAAGTAAAATTTGCACTCTTCAGCAAGAATCTATCATCAGGACAAAGGGAGTCACTGTTTAGTCCAGTTTGTTACTACATCGCCACAAAGGAACATACGGGCAAAGTCAATTTTATGCCTGCAAGCAATTTTTTTTTTTTTTGCAGTTTCATATCCAAACATGAAACAAAGAATTTTTGGAACGTATTTTTTTATTAATCCAACAGATTTGTATCACTTTAAATGTTATTTTTAGTGGATAGTCATATTTGAGCTCTGTTTATTAAACAGTATGTTTATTTTCATCTACTGGTCTGAATATTCAAGAAATTTTATAAAAGAAAAATTTGAAGCCTTCGACAACAATCAAACCTGCACATCTCAAGTTAGAGGGAGCCACCATTTAACCCAACACACCTTACTGCTTGGCCATAAAGAAACATAGCCAAGCAATTTCATGCTTTTATATATATATATATATGGGAAAACAACAGATAAATTTTTATATATCAAACCAATATTTTGTTTTGGCTTCTGTAAGGTGACCAATTTATAATGAATTTACATAACGTTAACATTTTTTTTATATTCATGATCTGGAGTGCTTAATCTGGAATTAACATGAAAATAAAATGTTTTAAAAGAAATTATTTTTTTTGCTTTCAGTATCTGTTTCACAACCATACCAAATGGGGAGAAAAATATCCTGGCTCATCTATTTGAAACTAAAGGTAATGTAAAAAAAAAAAAAAATTTAGAAAATCTTCAAATTTGTGTTTACATATTTAGAAAAAAAATTTATTATTCAACTTTCTCACATCATGTGATTTCTTAAAACATAAAATTTTTTCTTCTTTTCCAAGTTCATTTGTCAATATTTCTTTTATACTATTAGATCATTGAAAAAGTCTGTGCTCAAATAGAAAATTAAAAACAAATTTTACATTTTCATAAAAAAACATTTTTTAGTGAAGTACCCAGTCTCCATTGTTCTACAAGCTTGTAGATGCCATTTTCATAGAACCTTTGTGTTTTGTATTGGAAAAACGTTGTGATATCGTTTTTTGACTGACTGTACAGAGTCAGACTTTTTGTCATTTGCATTGTTCTGTCAAAACTGGAAGAAATGAAAATCTGAAGCAACTAAATCAGAATACTGCGGCTACTCGAGATTTTCCCCTTTCAATTGTTTAAACTTCTGCAACAACATGCAGCGTTATCCTGATGGAAAATGGCACCTTTTCGATTTGCCAAAAATCAGCTGTTTTTCTTCAACCCAGGTCTCTTCAAATGGCAAAAAGCAGTTGAGATATCGATTTTCTGTTAAAATCTTCAAATTCTCCATGATAGCAAGCAGAGCTTCTTCACCATCAGAAATTTGCCCAAGTGTGATTGATCGTTTAGGTTAAAATCACCGAGAAAACCACTTTTTGACCATCCAAAGAGCTGGAGCATGATCCAAATAAACCTTCTGAATGTTTTTGTTTTGTCGCAATTCCTATGCTTACTCTTTTCCAAAATTCATAGAGCATAGTATAGAGAAAATGCAAGTTTTCATCTTCCATCTTTAAGGCATTCATTTGTGGCTAAAACGTACAACATTCAACAAGTTAATAATGAACAGTTTCAATCTAGAACACACCAGAAATCAGCATCAAAACAAATTCCAGTGTCAAGTTGCACTTATTTTATATTAACAATGAAAATCAGCACAAATTTTTGCAACGATCTCAGATTTGTTGCGATATAATTTACAGATGACATTTTCTAGATGCTCCAACAATATACCATTTCTGGCATATTATACTGTAAATCCCAGCATCTTATTCATCTCTGGGCTGCATATTCTAAGGGATCTGAGGTAAAATCTATGTCCTGATTATATCATTTGGCTCTGAGGTAAAAACCTATGTCCTGATTTTATATTTTGGCTGTGGCAGGAGTAGAAATTGATTAAATCATTTTTGTTAGATTTTTTGTAAACTTTAAAATCTAATTTCTTTTTGTTTCTTATTAAGAGGATGTCAAGAAAAAGTAGAAATTTAGAAAATGTAGAAATGCAGGAATTTGATGGTAGGTTCTACATTAAGTCTTTTTAATGATGTTTAGTAGATTTTCATTGTGAGGATATATTAGAAGAAAACTATCTATATATATATATATATATACATACTGTAATTGGAGATTTTAGGTATGATGTATTCAAATAGGCCAGACTCCAAAAATTCTAAGACCTTTATAAAGGGTTTTTTGTAGCTTTATTGCATTTTTTAATAGGGTTTTATTTTTTAATTAGATTTGTAGCGAATTGTTTATACTTTTTTTTACTTAAAGAAAGCAATTAGAGAATTTAAATTTTAACTTAATGGTTACAAAAGTAAGATTTATTTAAAGTTGCAAAAATTAAAAAAAAAAAAAGGCGGGAATATAGACAAAAAAGAAGTCATTTTAAAAATTCACAGCATGTATTTTTTTTTTTTTTTTAAATATATAAGATAAAAACATCAGTACTATTGATTGTACTCGAAATTAAAAATGAAAAAGAAATTTTTATTTTTACATTTCAAGAAATCACATCGTATGAGCATATTTGTTTTTTGGATTCCGTAGATACCAATTTAAAAATGATTTTCAAATTCGACCCCCTATTAAATTTTATAAAATTTAATAATTTATTTTTAGATATTCGTAACACAGTCTGGAGTACTTAATCTATATTATGTAATATGTAAAAAAAAAATTTTAAAAAAAGATTATTTCTGGTCGCAATGTCCATTTTTTTTTTTTTTTTAGAATTCCAAAGATTCTAATTTTCAGTAATAATAAACAAAAAAAAAAAAAAAAAGCATTGCCATTATCTTTGTAAAGTTTAAGGAAGTGATCAGTGCTGCCTATTTTTAAAAAATTGTGGAAATAAGCAAACAAGTTCAAAGAATGATTAAGATTACAATATCAGCATAAATTTTAGTAATTTTGTTTAAATTTGTTAAAAAAAATAAAAAGAACATAAGACACAGTCACAAAATGCTTCTTTTTATCTTTTTACTTTAAATGTCAATGTTTCTGTTTAGTGTTTATCTTCCATTTTTTTTTCTTTCTTTTTTTTTTTTTTACAGCTTGTTTTATTTTTATCCATAAAAATAAACATTTCCTTTATCCTTTGTAAATATCTAAACACAGCCTTATAAATAAATAAAAAATATTTGTTTTTAGTTTTCATAATAATAGCCACTTAGGTATTTAAAAAGAGGAATTTCTCTCGAGGAAGAAATATACAAAAAGTAAATAAAACGAAACCCCTCTTTTTCTTTCTGCTTTTCTTTTTTTAACATCCATGTAGTCTACAGATCAATATAAACCAGAATTTTGTTAATAACCAGAATTTATAAACAAAATGATCGTCAGATCTCTGAAAAAGTAAGACAATTTTTCCAACGTGGGGGAATCCATCTTACTTGTTTTCATGATATTCCTGACAAAGAGTTCGAATTTTAAATAAACACATAACAATACCCCGATTAACAAAAATAAAATATTAATATAGGAACCCTTAACTGAACATAAATAAATCACAGACAAAAAACAAATAACTAAAATCAGATTATTTTACCGTTTTAAGGTTTTAAAAAAAAAAATAAACCACCTTCGCGACAGCAGTTTGAAATACCATCTACATCAGCGCCCTCTACGCCATCAAATAATTATTAAGGGAGCAGTTTGTAGCGTTATTTTGATCTTTACATAAGCTTACTATTAAATAATATAAATATAATCCTTATCGTATTTTAATGATGTAAAAAATAATAATATAATTTTTAAAAGATTTTCACCAATACATATTATGTCTAATGTCTTAATGGCTATTTACTAAATTCATTTCAAATTGACAGTTTTTTCAATTAATAAATGCTCCCGTGATATATTGCCCCGAGTATAGTTGTCATTTCCGTATTCTCGGAGTAACTTTTACGGAAGTAACCGGAAAAATACGAAGGTTATCGATGAAGTTTGAAAGAAGAAGGAGGTAGGTATGTTGACACTACAGGTTTTTTTTTTACACTACCAAACTTATAAATAAAATAAAATAAGCAATCTATCTATCTATCTATTATAAACTCTGATTTTATTAACATTTTGTTTTGAATTTTTGTATAGTTATTTCAGAAAAAAAATTGATTTTTTTTTTTTTTTTGCTAAAATTTGTTGAAGGAAGCAATTAATTAAGTTTTCACTTTTCAAATTAAGAAAATTATGTAAATTTTATGAAGTTTTCTTAGTAATCTTATTCGTAAGGTTATTTTTTTATTGTCTGGTCACAAATGTATTTTTATTTAATATCAGGCCTCGGAATATTTTTATGTCTCAGAAATGGATAAAAAATAGTTTCTTGTTTCAGAAAACAAAAAACATTTAAAAGGTAAAACAAAAATGTTTTTTTTTTTTTTTTTTTTTAGATCTTTCAACATCAAATCAAAGACATTTTTTTCTCGTCTCAGATTGATTTTTAAAAAAGAGATTTAAAGTTAAACTGATTTAAAATCCCCCTTTAAATAGAAAATAAGATTTATTTTAAATCTACTATTTCTTTAATGAAATAAAAGAAGAAATTGTCCAGTGTTAAAAAAAAACAAACTTAAAACTAAATGCTTAGTAAAAGATATCAATTCCATAATTTAAAATAAAATAGGTATACTTACCAATTTAGAAAAATATTTTTTTAAGAGAATACCTTTTTCACCATTCATAAAGTATTTAAGTATTTTTAACTATTATTAATCATCATTTAAGTATTATTCATTAAATAAACCTTTTTAAGAACATACCTTTTCCACCATTCATTAAGTAAACCTTTTTCTATTCATTACATTAAGTAATGGATAAATACTAAAATTCTATTAAATTCCGTTAATTAGTTGAATTCCAGATTTCTTAAATTAATTAAAGTCTGCACATAATTTTTAATTTTCTTAAAAAAAGCAAATAAATCTTAAACAATTTTTGTTTCTTCTTAAAATGGAAAATAACTTTTATGTTTAGGGATCTTTTCTGTTAATTCACCCCAAATAATGTTTGTTAAGTTACTTGTTATCACAAATATTAATTCACCCAAAGAAATTATAAATTTTAAATCAAAGTTTTTTTGTATTTTTTTTTCTTATCAAATTTTTGAAACTCTTGAAATCATAAATTTTAATAAATCAAAATTTGTTTAGCTGACCTCACAACACACCCCTCAGAATGAAAAATTACCAAACATTGAGGGTTTATTCACATTTCATAAGTGCGGATGATATTCGAGTTACGTACAATGAATTTTTTACAATTTAAAAAAATCTGTTTTTGGCTTGTTTATCGGGGTGAAGGTGAGCGCGAACGCTGACCCCACACTTAGAAAGTCGCCTACATTTGAGGTAACTGCAAAGTTCAACCCAACCTGAGTGCAATGAAAAGGCTGGGAGAATTTTAGCTTGAATATTGAATATAAATTCTTTTGCGGGTGACTTCATTTTTTTTAATAACTAAAAAACAAAAAAGTTAAAAAAAGGTACTTTTTTTTTTTTTTTTTTTTTTTTTTTTTTTAAATTATTTCATTTGTTACCAGGAAGACAAAGAATCATATAGCAATAAAAAGAAGTTAAATATTTTCTATAATTCCCAGCGACTTGTAAAACTAGTTTTATTTTCATTTCACGCCAAGCATGATAAAATACACGGGATAGGTGGATGCAAATGTGTGTGAATTAATGCGAGAAAAAGAAACGTTATTTTAAATGTGAGCGAACAATAAAAGAATAGTAATTAAGAAAACGAAAGATAAACTTTGACATTGCATTATTTAAATTTTGGCTTTCCAGTAATTTTTGATTTTCAAAAATTGAAATGCAATGTCAATCCTTATCTTGTGTTCTTCATTCCCGTTCTTTTAGTGTACTGTAGATACCACCAAAATGATTCCTTTTTTTCTTTTTTTATCTCTCTCTAAATGAAAACAAAACATCGTTACCCCTCCCCCCCCCCATTTTTAAAGATATTTGCCAAAAATCGGTAAATTATCAGATTCAAACGAAATTTTCAGTCTATGTTATTTTAGAAAACTTTGAAAATATTCTTTTCTGGGGCGTGTTTCACCCCACCCCTTTTTTTTTTTTTTTTTTTTTTCGATAACTCGTGTACTTTTTTATTTGGGGGGGGGGTGTTCACGAATTTTTATTTTTATTTATTTTCACTTATTTATGGAAAAATGCCTGAAGATGTTATTTCAGTAAAAAAAAAAAAAAAAATGCTATATAAAGTGTGAAAATACAGAAAATTTGTACCGAATCTTACCGAAAATAAATATTAAAACTCAATTATTTATTTTGAGAATTGGTGCTTGCATAATTTAATAAAACAAATTATTTTATTTCAGAATAATCAGGAAATAATCTACACTTAATATTTATTTTACCAAAAGATTATTTGTAATTTTTCAATCCCCCGGCAAAAAAATAAATAAAATACATAAGCAATGGCATGACAAAACAAAAAAACAATGATTCATGATCCTCCCCTTTGCTTTTAAGAACAATGCTCATGACACTGTCAGCAGTTGGCAGGCAAGTCCTCAGCATCCAATCCAGTGTATTCATCTACTCTAGGCTCTACCGACTCTCCACTTCCTCCAAGTTACTTCCCTCACCCACAAAAAGATTTTCCATCTTGATCCTCTATATCAGTAATACAAGGAATTATATCTTAACAATTCTTGTCTTTTCTTTTTGCCTCAACGGTGTTACTTGTTTCGTTTATTCTTTTATGTACATTTATAACAATGTCTTATTTCAATGTTACTATGCCACTTTGTTTATGAAATTTTTAAAAATATAAATGAATTTCTTCGTAGAAGTGCTTTGTCTTGCTTTTCTTTCCACAGATTTATTATTCTGTAAATATTGGTTTCCATCTATAAAACTTAATGACATCCAACATCGTCCTTTCAAACAAGTTCGCCTCTACCTTTTTGGATATGGAAGCTCATCTATACAAAGAAATGAAACAAAAAATACACAATTTTTACATTGAAAGAAAACAAAAAATATACTATTTACATTGTTCTCATCTTGTTGTTACCTCAATGTTTTTTAGCCGTTGTGCTCTCCTGCTCTTATCCGGTTGTATGTCAATCCGGGTAACCAACTTAACCCTTCATTTAATTAATCTATGGGGGTAGTGTTCACTGCCCATCTCTAAGGATGTCTTGCTTATTTCTTATTTTTAGTACTGCTTTAGTTATTGTTCGTCCTGTTTCCACTGAGTCCAAGTACACACTGCCCAGCCCAGGGATTGAACTCACAATTACTATGTCACCAAATTCATGAAACAGCTCTTTAATCCCCTAGGCCAGTGGTTCTCAAATGGTGCACCTGGATGCACTGGTGCACCCTGGAAGATGTCTAGGTGAACCCTGACATTCCAGAGTAATGTGTCCAGATATAAGAAATAAATAGACTTACTTTATTATTGCTTTACCCGCCTCATTGTGTCAATTAGGTATTTCTGCCCTCACCACAGGTGTAAAAAGAGAGGAACTCTTCAATGTATTGACAAGGAAATGAGATTGCCTATCAAATATATGCTCAAACATTGAAGAAATCGCTAAGACTCATCAGGCTCATGTTTCTCATAAACACAAGAATGAATAAACTTAAGGCATATTTTATTTTTTATTGCATTATTTCTTTTCTGCAATATTTGACTTAACATATTTTTCCGAAATTTGTATAAAGTGTGCTTACAATTATTGGTAGGATCTCAAGTGCGCCTCGACTTCAAAAAGTTTGAAAACCACTCCCTTAGGCCATTGTACAACGAGAGCGTGAGTAATAACTGAACTGTGCAAAAAATAAGAACTAGATGAGATATCTCTAGATATGATGGGCAGTGGAATGAAAACAGTCTACCCCATACATTAAATAAAAAGGGTTCAGTTTGGAATTCCCTGTAAGATTGACGTGCACCTGATGAAGGCCAAAGTGCACAATGGAGGAAAGTTTCTAATAACCACAACAAAAGTGAGGACCAATAGTCCACGTGTAAATAGTGTATAACACCTTTTCTCAGAAGTTCAGATAGAAACAAAAAAATAGCGTACAAAATTCAATATAATTTATTTAGTCTCTACATTGTAATAACTTTTTCCTAAATTCTCATGGGCTAAATAATTTATGGATATATTCAAATTCAATATTTCTGCATATTCCAAAGTCTGGCAATGCATCGCTTCCAAATTCTAAAATGAGGTTAAATAAAGCAATCTATGAGAAGTCATTCAGTATTTGGTTCGTGACAAACGTTTCCAACACTAAACTTGTAGTGGACCATAATGTTGACTATTGGCTTTCCTTCGCAAAATCACGTCGACGGTCACCATTATGTAGAGAACCCAGGGGTGAAGATGTACAGAAAACACGTCCGTTTACATTTCCTGTTAGAAGGTCCAACTATAATAGAATGTTGGACTTGAATCAAGTCCAACTGAAGATAAGTAAGACAAACAAACAAAATATATATATATATATATATATATATATATATATATATTTACAAAGCACATAGACAGTTAACATTGTGTTTGTGTGTGTGAACATTCGTATGAGTTCGTGG